GTCTCTATTCATAGTGAATGGATAGATCAGTTCTCTTGTGTGTCGTTAAGATCATTGACGGTATTCCATTGATTTTTTAAATTGAGTTTATCCTGGTGACACTGGTTCACAAAATCGTACAGGTTTCAAGTGTACAAGTCAACAAAACATCATTTGCACAGTGCATTGTGCGCGCATTGCCCAAAGCAAAGGCCCTTTCCATCCTCATTTATCCTCCCTTTGTCCTCTTCCACCTTCCCCCACCCCCTTTCCCTCTGGCTATCACCACACTGTTTCCGTGTCTATGTGTTATATATATATAATGCTTTGATGTGCTCTTTACATGTATCATTTGTACGTTATTTTGTAACCAGACAACCAAGGGGTCTGGGCTGCCTGTCACTACTTCGGCCAATTAAGCAGAGACAGGGTTGAGTCATATATGAATGTTTATTCCAATAATGCCGGCGGTATGGGAGAGCAGCAGGTCATCCACAAGAGTCTGCTTTGCACCTCAGCATAAGCCAGCTGCTTATATTGGGTAGAAGGACAAGATTACATGGGGAAGTAGGAATTACAGGTATGGGCAAGTGGGCGTGGGATAATCATTACAGGTTACAAGTCATGGTGGGGTGGGGCGGTCACAGATAGTGGGTGCCCTGGGCCCCCCGGGACCAGATTACAGGTAATAGAGGCCAGGGGTTGTAAAGAACAGGTGCCTCCAGGACTAGGTGCCATGCAATTATAAATCTTTCCATAAGGGTAGGCAGTTCTCAGGAAAGGAGGATGGACTGCATTCTGATGTTAGCTCCCAGGTCCCAGGGCATACAACTCTCAGGGAGGTTAGAATGTGCTTTCTCTAATCAGAACAGAACAATCACAGTTAACAGAGCATGGTTACCTAATAGTTATTATAATAATCATTAATTTCTAATATTCCATTTGTGCCCCTAACAATTTAATGCCAGCGCCCTAGCAGTCTCTCTTCATGTCAATATGCTTTCCTACTTCTGTTCTTGACCCAGATCTCTTGCTTTCTGTGTAGATTTTCACATAAAGTGGGTATTTTTATTTGATTTGTTTTACATTTTTTTCTTGCTAGTGTTATATTATAGACTTTTTCCCCCTGCCATTCCTGCCATAGGACTTTATAAAAGGACTGTCTTACTTTCACTTAAACTTTTATTTCCCACGTAACTTTAAGGTATACATTTTACTCCTCTCCCCCTCCCCCCCCCCCATCATTAATACATTACCATTTGACTCTCTCATTAGGCTGTCAATCTGTAAAACTCTAGAAGAAGAAAGAGAGGCCTTCTTTTAAATAGGCCTGATACTTTGCTAAAGATGTTGGTGCACTGTCTACAATTCTATTCTTGTCAAGAAAATGCTTTTGAAATTTCAAGGAGAAATGAAATTAAGAAAAGCTACCAAGCCAGGAAAGATTTAGAGAGGATAACATAAAGAAAAGAAGGACGGAATCCGCTACAAAAATCTAGGGAAGGTCCGTGCCTTATTTAAAATAACTAAATAAGTGCTGAAGAGTATCCTGAATGGCCAGACTGAGAGGTTCTAGGCATCCTCCCTATGGGAAAATGGTGGTTGAAGGCCCCTAAGCCAAGCTTCCTGTGCCCTTGTTCGTGGTCAGCCAATGAAACACTATTCAATGTGGATTTCTAGGTTAAGGTAATAGAGACTGGGGCGTTGAGCCTGGGTACGAAAAGGAAGGGGAACATTTAGTAACGATTCCCACAGAAATTCCCCCATACAAACGTTGGTAGGGGGCAGTTTCTCCAGTTTCAGTGAAGCTGAGATGAGACAATACGCCTGAAGTGCAGCAGGAGCGACTTATGTTAAAATTCAGGCAGACGGTCTGGTCTCTGAGATCCTCGAATATGTTACTAAGCAGAGCAGGACTTGCCCCACAAACAGGGCTGGAGAGTTTTCCAAGATTCCAAGTCATTAGGCAGGGTTTCCCGGGACGGCACTGCCACAGCCTCAACTGTTCTCTGCGAGCCTCTGACCTGATTCACGAAGAAAGCCTATGGAATTCTGTCGACTTCAGACTTGACATAAAAAGGTGGGTGGCAACCAGGGCAGGTCTTTCTGAAGATGGGAGCTCGCATGTCCCCCTTTGCCTCGTCAGGGCACCGTGGCTACCGCAAATGAGAAACTGCAGTTAGCTTTCTTTGCCAGACAGCAGGAAAATTTATATTTCTGCTTAAAACAGAATGCTTTTCACGGCAGAGGAATTAATAAGGTTAGAAACAAAGTTTCTTCTTGGGAATGGTGTATGGAGACTGCAGTGGGGGGTAGGGCTGGAGGAAATACACTCCTTAAGCTGCTTCTGTGAAAAACTTCCATCAACTGCTAGCTTTTGCTTCTACAAAACTTTGACATCTGTCCCTTGACCTTTACCAACTACCCTTTCACGTTTGACACTTAGCATTTGCTACATAATTACAATTCAGCGTTAATTAATTTCAGCACTATCAGTTAAGTTATATTTAGCTGGGAACACTCACTTTTGTCTTTTGTGAGTAGCAGTGCAGTGTTATTACTGAGAGGTAGTCAGGAGGGCAACAGAGATACGAGAAGAATGATTCAGTGTGCGGATAATTGTTTCGAGTGAAATTTAGCTCGGTATTTTTGTTCCTGTCCTCAGTAGAACTGAGATTTAGCACCTCGAGTTGGCATTTAGCCCCCACCCCCACACAGGGGGAGGTTGTGCTGGGCGGGTGCTGAGAACGAGCCACACCAGAATGAAATTATAGCACAGTTCTAACACTGGCAAGCTTTCTCTCTGGCCAGCTCCTGGGTGCAAAGCTGGTGACTCCAAAAGAGAGGCAAGGCATCCCTAGAAAGGATCGCCATCTGGTGTGGCGTCACCCTCAATGAGGGGGGCTGACTTGGTTGTTGTTTAAAGAGCATGTTGCCATGTTGCTCAAAAAGTGGTGACCACACCCCCCTCCCCCCCAAAAACGAAAAAAAAAAAAAAAGTGGTGGGAGCCTGCATAGTCATAGCAGAGTTATAGTTCTAACCTTAAAAAGTCACCCATGAGGTTATCTTTTTTTGGGGGGGATGAGGGGGGATTATTCCATAATGGGACCAAAAAACCTTAATAGAAATGGATTAAAAAAGAAAAGATATTTGACCCCTTTTTCTGAGTTTTCCAAGCGGGAAAACATTTTTACTAGTTTGTGCATGGCATGCTCTTTTGCTTTGTAAGAGGGTTATATAGGAATAGGAATATGCTTCAAAACACTACAAAACCATTACAACTTGCCATTCTCTATATGCCAAGGATTTGAGTAGCTCTAGTTCGGTTAGCATGAAGTTGTGGTCCACTAGTTTCCTGTGCCACTGAAATGAGTCTGTTCTTACATCCATGTACAGAGCAGGAAGAGAGAGCTCTCCACTTGGTAGATAGTGCAGGTGAAACACAGTGTGAGCCCCTCACACATGGTTCCCTGAAGATGCAGTCATAACAGTAAACTGAAGTTTTGGGTGTTCTTTGAGACAGTCTAACCAGATAGCCTCCAGTTGTTAAAAAATATACAAAAAAGGCAACAATTTTATAGCATTTTTATTTGTGGGATTATAGAACATTTTTGCCTCTAGTAATTCAACTTTTACCTTTAGAATCACATTCTATGCCCCCATCTCATCCTCTTCCTACAGTGGGAGGACACTTGTGCCCTGGCAGATTTTGTTTTCCTGCCCACCCCCTTGGAAAGAACGGCAGCCTCTATATGCCAAGGATCTTACTATCTCTGGCTCAGTAGTCAAGCAATTCAGCATCAAGTCAGATTTCTGCTGGTTGGCCAGTGCTAGATGGTCCCTGTTAGACAGTAATTGACCTTGAATCTTAACCCTGAGACCAAGTCACCTTGTGTTCCTGATGGGATACTAATAAATATCCCTCTTGGTCCCAGTGCATGAGAATCTAACTGGCCCTCTAAGATGAGGTCTTTGGTGTTTTGTGTTTTTTTTTTCAGTTGTCTCCTCCCTCCCCAACCTGCCCCAAACTGACTGCAGGATAGTGGAATCCTAGTTATGAAGCCCAGTCTTATGATGAAGGTCTCACTATCACTGAAAACATCTCTGCTTTCAATCTCTTGCTCAGGCCTCTGACCTGGGCCCACTCTGGGCTCCCCCGACAGCTGGCTCTGTTCATTGCTTGTCACAGCAGCCCTGAACCTGTCCACTTCCGGAAGTCACTGGGCCTCTGGATGCTCTGATTCACCTTTCAAACTGCACTGACTCCCCATACCTTCCACCAAATAAATTGCCAGGAGCATATGTGCCACCCCAGGGGGCTCCTCTGCTCTAGGTCTGCTTCTTCCTGTCCTGTCCTGGAGTTGACCTTGGCCAAACCCTGCTATGAAGCAGTGCAGGAAGAGGCGAAGCTTTATTATTTAGAGCAGTGGTTCTCAACCTTCCTAATGCCGCGACCCTTTAATACAGTTCCTCATGTGGTGGTGACCCCCAACCATAAAATTATTTTCATTGCTACTTCATAACTGTAATTTTGCTACTGTTATGAATCGTATTGTAAATATCTGATATGAAGGATGTATTTTCATTGTTACAAATTGAGCATAATTAAAGCATAGTGATTAATTACAAAAACAATATGTAATTATATATGTATTTTCTGATGGTCTTAGGCAACCCCTGTGAAAGGGTCATTCGACCCCCAAAGGGGTCGCGACCCACAGGTTGAGAGACTGATTTAGAAGATCATACCTAGATGAAGAGGGAAGATCATACCCTAATTTAGGAGCAAATAATATTTTTAAGAGTGGGAAGAATCTTATTTTTTTTTTAGCTTCATTTGGTAAAATACAAAATAGAAACGTTATTTTTGTATCAAATATTTACTTTGAAACAAAAATTTCAAGCATCTCTCTTTTCTAATATCTTTCATCAATGGACTGAATTGGTGGTTTTCTATATACCTTGAGGTTGAAGATAATTTTAGTTGTAATGTATTTTCTCTCTCTTTTTACATTTTAAGGTATTACACAATGGCCTCATTATGGAAATGAAACATCCAACTGTGGGGAAGATATCAGTCCCAGGTTTGAAAAATTTTATTTTTCTTAATACCTTCCTTTATAAACAGTTCCCTATGTTTATACCCCAAACAGCTTGTCAAGACATTGTCCAAAATTTTTGTTTTTGATGAAAGTTAGAGTCACACCAACAAGACTGCATGCTGAGGCTACAGAATTGTGTCTTTGCTCTTACAAATGTCTGATTGTCTCACCATCAGCAAAATGCTTGTATCACCTAACTCCATTTTCTGTAATCATGTACTCACAAGGGTACATTGTGAAATTGCCAGCAGATAAGTAATGATAGATATGGCAAATATTATGAAATTACATGCAGTTATTATGCGAATAAGAACGGAAGCCAGGCTCCAGAGAGGTGGTGTCCAGTGAAGGATACTGACTGCGCAGGCCAGGGCATTTTTCTCTCTGAACTATGGTTTCGGGTCTCGATCTTAGCTTTGTAGATCAAGAAACTAAATGTTTTCGGTAAACTCAGAATATATTGAAGTTTTGTAATTTGACTCAGACCAAACAAACTCAACCAAAGAATTTTGGCCAAAATGCCAACCTTATACTTCCGGGGGGAATTCTTTTCCTTGTAGCCAGGAACCTCCTTCCTCCTCTCAAAGCATCCAGACTGTGGCAAGAGCTTATGATTAACCTGTTACCATACACAGGCTTCACTTCTCTAGTGATCGTCATGTGACCGTTCCTCAGGTCTGTTGTCTCTCCTCTGGGGATTGCTAGTAAAACACTCCACATTCTTCACTGTGTCCCTATTTTCCAGACTATGTGCAAACCATGCACTTTTATTTTCCTTTTCTTCTAAGATTTGGGATCAACTTACAGTATTGTCCCAGAACAGATCAGATAATGGCCACTGGCATATAAAAAATAATAATAAGCCCTGACCGGTTTGGCTCAGTGGATAGAGCATCATCCTGCAGACTCAAGGGTCCCGGGTTCGATTCCTGTCAAGTGCATGTACCTTGGTTGCGGGCACATCCCCAGTCGGGGGGGGGGGGGGGAGGTGTGAAGGAGGCAGCTGATCGATGTTTCTCTCTCATCAATGTTTCTAACTCTCTATCCCTCTCCCTTCCTCTCTGTAAAAAATCAATAAAATATATTTTAAAAAAATAATAATAAGAGGGAATTATGATAAACAAATAAAATTGAAATAGAAAATTCTAATGCACAGGAGTATAAGGAACATTATACACAAATTAAGGAAGGTAACTAAGAGAGAGAGAGCAGGTATAAGCACATCAGAGACTGAGATCATATGTTCATATGGAAATGATATGTCATGGAGAAAGGTCGTAGGGGAAAAGCATGTTAATACAAGCTAAAAAAGTCTTTTATTCGTTCATATTATTGAGCGTATACTATGAGGCAGGCAATGCTTTGGGTCCTCAGAATTAAAAAATAAACCAGATTCCTTGGCTCCTGGCCACATGGAGCTCATTCTCAATGGAAATGCTGGCAATAAAAGCAATCAACAAATGTTCCTATAACTATAATTCATGGTATGTGCAAAGATGGGGAGTGAGCAGTGTGCTGTCACAGAGAATAATGGGGAAAGAGGGACCTGTGTTAATTTGGTTGATCCGAGGATGACTTATAAACTGAGAACTGAAGGATGTAAAGAAGTCAACATTTGGAGAGTAGGGGGAAGAGCATTCCAAGCAAAGGGACCAGCATGCGAGACGACCCTGAGGTGGGAAGGAGCTGGGTGTGTTTTAAGCCAGGATGGTAGATGGGGAAAAGGAGGTAGGACATGAGACTAGAATGCAGGGCAAAGCCTTGAAGGCCCCACTAAATCCGATTTTACTCTGGTTTTAAGCAGGGGAGTAAAATGACACAATGTATAACTTAAAGCGGGTTAAGAAGTTATTACAGGAGTTCAGGTAATGATGTCTTAAGTTAGGGTCATCGTAATAGCAATAAAGGGAAGGGGGTGGTCAAAATGTAATCACAGGGTTTTCAGTAGGAAAAGACTTTAAAAGGCATTTTGTCCAGTAGTTTTAACTTTATTTTTTAAACAGTAAACTGATAATCTAAAACAGATCAAAACAGAGTTCTGCTGATCGATAGATGAACACTCCAGCTGTTTGACTTTCTTCTACTTTCATCATGCCTTCCAAATCCGTCCTTAAACCCACCGGCCCTAACGAACAACCCAGGAACCACTGGCCCAATTTAATTCCCCAAGTTTAAAGATGAGGTCCAACAGTCATTTATATCCCCAACACATGAGAGGAAAGGTTAAACACTAGAAAGTTAATACAAATATTAGTATGATAGTAAGGAAACAAGTAAGTCAGTGGCCAACCTAGAATGAACTCACTGGATGTAATCCTCTCTCAATCAATCAGACATGAATTTGCTGACTTCCAGGTAACTCAGGAAGATGGAAATATTTTTTCAGATTCCTTAAAGGGAGACGTATACCCATTTCATTCACTTTAATTTATAAGTGTATTTATTAGCTATAGTCACAAGAAAGCTGTATAACAAATAACCACAAAAATCTCAGTGGCACTCCAGCATAATCATTCATTTATTCCATGGATGTGGATCTAAGTGGGGGATGGCTGAGCTGGGTTGGACTTGCCCGGGTAGCTTTTATTATAGGTGCAAGCCTGGAATCTATCGAGGTTTGCCTCCTCACTGTGTTAGCCTCAGTTCTGCTCCGTGTGTCTCTCCTGTTCTCATGACAATGGCAGGAGAGCAAGAAACTAAGCAGAAACCACAAGGCCACTTAAGACCTTCTGCAGAGCTATCAGATCCTTCTGCCCACACTCTATTGGCCAAAGCAACTTTTAGGCTTTACCCCAAGAGGCGGGGAAATAGATATCTTTTTAAGTGAAACTGCAATGTTACATGGTAAAGGCTTAGGAGGGGTAAATAAGGCTTGGATCAAAAATTCACCGTTACCATGATAGAATTCTCAGATCTGTCGTAATCTTTTTTATCCTTCATTTTTATCTTTATTCTCTTTGGGGAATTCTTTCTTTTCTTTTTTCTTTTCCCTTCCTTCCTTCCTTCCTTCCTTCCTCCCTCCCTCCCTCCCTCCCTCCCTCCCTCCCTCCCTCCCTCCCTCCCTCCCTTTCTTTCTTTCTTTCTTTCTTTCTTTCTTTCTTTCTTCTTTCTTTCTTTCTTTCTTTCTTTCTTCTTTTTCTCTTCCCTCCCTCCCTCTTTCTCTCTCTCTCTCTCTCTCTCTCTCTCTCTCTCTCTCTCTTTCTTTCTTTCTTTCTTTCTTTCTTCTTTCTTTCTTCTTTCTTTTTCCCTTCCTCCCTCCCTCCCTTCCTTCCTTCCTCACCTGAGGACATATTTCCATTGACCCCAGAGAGAGAGAGAGGAAGAGAGAGACATCCATTGGTTGCTTCCTTTATGCCCCCCACCCCGCCCTGACTGAGGATTGAACCAGCCACCTTTTGGGGTACAGGACAATGCTTTAATCAACTGAGCCACCCAGCCAGGGCTATTTTTGTTTCTTTAATTTCTATAGAGCTTAAGCATATTATTATATATCTATCTTATTGGCTTACCTTATATCCTTTCTATAGAATTATCAATATTGGAAGTCTCAGATTTGGGATGAAATGGATGCATTTAGGTCATTTTCAAAATTAGTATCTGAGTGTTTCTCCAAGGCAATACACCTGGACTCCCCATGAAAAGGGAGAGAAAATCAGATAAAAAGTTGCAATTGCTGCTTCTAATTCAGTGTATCCTAGTAAGGGACCTCTCAAACAGGATAAGATATATTAATATAAATACTTTCACAGTAAATAATTAAATTTTTCCTGTGGCTTGCCCCTTTCATTGATTTTATTGACCTATGATAGTTCTGTCTTTCTTTGTAAATGTTCCCTTTGGAGACCTCATGAATGTTGTAAAAATAACCCACAATGCCTCATTAAAGTGAATCAGCCAAAACAGAAAAAGTGGGTAGAGTGAAAGGTGATTTTATGCTACACTGTTTGCTAGTTAGCCAGTGGAGACACATTTTGAATTCATTAAATGTATTTCTCTAGATTTGCATATACATGGGTGTGCAAAAATAGGTTTACAGTTGTTTCTATGGAAAAATATATAACACAAGAATAGTATATAATAAAAGCCTAATATGCTAAGTGTCCAGTCGTCCAATTGGCCGTTCAACCAATCAAAGCTTAATATGCTAATGATATGCAAAGCCACTGAACTGCTCACTATGACATGCACTGACCACCAGGGGGAAGACGCTCTGACCAGTAGGTTAGCTTGCTGCTGGGGTCTGGCTGATCTGGACTGAGTGAGGCAGGCCAGACACACCCTGGAGCCCTCCTGCGGTCCCTCCCTGGCTGGCCAACCTCCCACATCCCTCCCCAGCCCTGATTGTGCATCAGTGGGGTCCCTGGGCCTGGCCTGTGCCCTCTTGCAATCTCGGAACTCTTGGGGGATGTCAGAGAGCCAATTTCGGCCCCATTGGCAGAATAACCAGTCACTATGACACACACTGACCACCAGGGGGAAGATGCTCAATGCAGGAGCTGCCCCCTGGTGGTCAGTCCTCTCCCCTTGTGGGAAGCCGGGTGGGTGAGTGCAGTGGCAGTGGCGGGAGCCTCTCCAACCTCCGCAGCAGCGCTAAAGATATCTGACTGATGGCTTAAGCCTGCTCCCCACAGGGCTCCCAGACTGCACAGACTGGGCTGAGGGGATTCCCACCCCCCCGCCAGTGCATGAATTTCATGCACCAGGCCTCTAGTAAATAATAATACAAGAATAAACTGTTTCACGTACTTACGACTGTAAATCTACTTTTGCCACCCCCTGTATATCTGCATCTTCACATTTACAGTAAAAAAAATCCTGTTGACATTACTTCAAACTACTTATTTATATTTCCTTTGTTATTAGTGAACGTGTACTGAAATTTTGATATATTCTATTAATTTACCTGAAGCATTATGTCTTAGTAGTTACTAGAAATCTGTCTCTTAAAGAAAGCAATAATTCTTATGTAATTTTGATTGTAC